TGCCCAAAAATGCCCTTAATGTTATTTAATGGGTCAAAAATGCTCATTTTCCGAATAAATATACTTTTTAATACTTTTTTTTTCTAATAATGTTTTTTAAAATTAGCAAATGTTTATCTTACTTCAATTCAGAAAAAAATAAAAAAATGAAAATATTTCTTATTTTATTATCATTATTTTTTATTGTTATATAAATATAAATTAATGATGGATATACTATGATCTTATATATGACATATGTATATATTATTTGTCGAAAGGGTACATAAAGTTATTTTATTTTAATTGATAAAATGAGATTAAGAAGAAAAAAATATTTCCTACATTTTTATTTGTTAAAGTGATTTTAGAAGAAGAAACAAGAATAGTGTTCTTTAATAATATTTTAATTAGGAAGAAGATGTGTTTAAAATGAAAAAAATATATATTTATTTGGAAAAGAGCATTTTTGACTCATTTGAACTATAGAGGCATTTCTGGACCAAAGTATTGACTGCAAGGACATTTTTGAACCAAAGTATTGACGGTAAAGACATTTTTGAGCCAAACTATAAACGGATGACATTTTTATTTCTTTCACATAATTTAAAGGCATTTTTGACCCTTTTTCCTAATTTAATTTAATAAACAGATAAACGAAGAAACCATGAAAAATGCTAAATGACGTGTTATAATTGATAGGATTGTATCATGACATTAAAATTGCCTTGTATCAATAGTATAAATAAAAATCTAAAGAGCCTTAGTACGTATAGTATTTGATAAAATCAAATTATTGGATATTGAAATGAATTAAGTTATATCACGGTCAATATTACTCTATGAGATCACTTAAAGAATATCTACGTATAATTTTTTTAATGGAGAAGGGCCAAAAATATCTCTCTAGTATTTGAATTGGTACAAAATTACCCTTCATCCACCTATTGACCCTAAAATACCCTTGACGTTCATCTTTCGGCTCAAAAATACCCTTATGTCTAACAGATCATACTCATTAGGTGGATGGAGGGTAATATTGTACCAAATCTCATAGTTTAAGGGCATTTTAGGCCCTTTCCGTTAAAATAATTTGAAATTACTTAATATAAAGCTCACATGATTGACTTGATTTTAAATTTCATAGTAAATTTAAAATTATAAAAAGATTAGGCATCTACTCTCTACACTCCTCACTCCCCGGCCCTTTACTTCCTATCTCTTCCAAAAAAAATTCTATTTGGATCTTGTCCACCATTTCAATTTTTTTAATTTTTTTTATGACAAACAAGTGAAAAAAAAAGGAGAAAAATAATGATGCATTCATATAGAAATAATTAATTCAATAAAAGATGACTTAATTAAGCAAATATGTACAAATATTACATTTTTCTTTTGTGTGTATCCAAAATTAAAATAAAGAATAAAAATAATCATTTCTCTTATCCCAATCTCATCCCATCATGACAATAATACTAATTAAAAGAATATAAATATGTGAGTTCATTTCAAATTTGAGTCTCGTATATCATAATTAAGAATAAGAGATTAAAAAAAGGAATAAAAGAGAAAATGAACAAGACATTTGGATAATTGAGAGAAAATTTTATATTAATGAAAATAATATTTTTTTTAGATGGACAATCAGTCGGGGTAAGTATGGATTTTAGTTGGATTCCCATTTATGAGTTGGGTTACGTTATACTAATAAATTGGGGTTGATTTAATATAGGTTAGATATCTTGAAAATAATTATTTTTTCAATATTATTTTCAAGTGTATGAGGTCAAAATATGAATCATAAGTGGTTTTTATAGAAAAATAGATTTTTTTAAAATATCATTTTTATTATTTAAATTTGGACCAATCACATTAAGCAATATAATAAATAAATGTTGAATAATTTTACTTTAAGAGAGATATTAAAAATAAGGGCAAATATGAGTCAAAGGATTAACATCAAGGGTATTTTTGAGCCGAAAGATGGACGTCAGGGATATTTTAGGGCGATAGATGGATGGAGGATAGTTTTTTGTACCAATTCAAATACTTGAGGGACATTTTAGACCCTTCTCCATTTTAAAAAAATATAAAACTAATAATCTTTAAACTCTATTGAAATACTGGCAGTATAAATACTCACCTGCTTTTCTTCCACCTAATTTAAAGTGACCGACCATAAATGTGGTCAAAAAGCGATATAAAAGGTACAGCAGGATATATAATTCTGTCAATAAATGCCAAAATAGGAGATGTTTAGTTTCAATTACAAGCTCTCTTAATCTGCCACGTATAAACCTTTGGTCATAATTCTCTACCCAAACGCATTTGCTGTTTTTGACCTTCTAGAATGTGCCGAGGGTGTGTTGGACTGCCTTCGACAGGAAAATTTTCAATAAAAATAATATCGAGTTTTCTTAATTTTTTTTTATTTCGTGTGTAAATAAATAAAGTATACGAGTGTCATTGTGTTGTTGGTACAAACTAGATGATCCTGAAACCTGGGAATCCAGCTAGAATGTTTAGTTCATTATCTTTATTTTAATTTACTTTAGAGTTCATATTTGATAGTTGATACAATGTTTTCTATTTTCATTAAGAAAATCATTTTAATTTACTTTTTTTTTTATATAAAATAACTTATTTTCTTAGAAAATTGTTTAACCAACCACTAATAATAAAATATTCAGTTTGATCCTACAAAAGGAAAAATATACTTATCAAAATCAAACATATTATATATATAAATATATATTTGAGAAAATATTTTCTTTCGAACCAAACACACTCCGGAATAATATAAAAATACTAAAAAAACATCAAATCGCTTTAACGAGACCTTTTTATGATATCAAATATATTAATTGTTAGTATATTATATATGAATCGACTTTATACATTTCTTCAATCATAATCTTGATTTCCTCTCATCTCATGATATTTTTCGTTAAATAAAAAACAATATATTTTTTAATGAAAAATTTTATAATTGTAAACTATGATAGATAAATTAAAACAAAGAAAATACTAATCTCTTTCCGCATAAGCAAGTTTTTCATAATTTATGGGAAGTAATTGTAAATTGAGTAATTTGATCATTTTTCAGCAGTTTGGCAGATAGTAATTAGATCGTATCAAAAATAGTACAATTTAATCAGAAAGGATCTTAATTATTACAACTATAATATAAGTTTTTCAAGCCTAAGTACAATTATTGCCTTGAATATTGTCATTAGCTAAACCAACTACAAAAATTTTCTATTCTAGTTTCAACATTTGCCTATAAAAAGACAAAAAAGAGTGACAACATGCCTTAATATATTTAATTAAAAAAATTGTTTTTTTTCTTTTGAAAAAAACCTAGAAAAAAAAACCTAGAATGAATAAAATCTCCTAAGTCCTAAACAACTTCTACGTATATACGTATCATATTATTTTCCACACATAATTTATCCTGTTCATTAATTAGCTACCTACTAATTGTCATTACATAAAGAAAAGTCATGGAATCTTGATTTGTCAAGAAAGATTACGATCTCTTGTAGGGAGTAGGGACTCATTGTTACACCAACTTTTATTCCTAGTTAATTAGCTACTATTAATTAAGCATAATGGTTATGGGTAAAGGGTTAATCTCATTTAGTTTCTTTAATTATTTTTATTAAACAAACTGTTTATCCATTTGTTGGCTGTCACATTAATCTCATGACAAGTTAAGTTTGATCAGCATAAGATAATGGTCCCTTAATTATTTAATATGGCAAAAATTGCAAGAAAACGTCGTATGAAAATAGTTTATTCGAATTAAGAAAAAAATTAGCAAGGTTTGAACTTTGTATAATTTATGAAGGGAAGTGGAGACATGAGATACAATAGAATATAGTCAAAATACTAATGTTCAAATTTCGGCTGAAGCATACGCGTCACATTGTAGTCAGCATGACACAAGATTTGTACTCCCTTCGTCCACTTTTACTTGTCATATTGCGTTTTTCGAAAGTCAATTTAACTAATTTTCAAAGTTAAATTAGATTATATTTATTCAATATTTTAAATAAAATTTTTAGATATTAAAAAACTATACAAAAAGTATTATAAAGTTTTTGCATTTCAATATGATGAAAGAATACATCGTAAAATGTTAATCAATTTTTTTATAATTTAACTCTAAAAAAGGAACTATGATAATTAAAAGTGGACAGAGGTAGTATAATTTAAATTCAATAAAAAAAATTACGTAGTGTTTATCGAAGAAGAATGAAATTGTAGAGTTGATTATATAAATGAAATATGTATTAATTTGATACTACTTCAGATCCACTTTATTTGTCGTTCTTACAAAAAAAAAGAAAGATAAATTACTTAATTGTAGTTTACCAATGAAGAGGACATATAATGTCATTTACTTAGACCTATTATATTACACGAGAGTATAGATATTTGTTGAAAATCAATAAGGTCATGATTAAACATGTCTGAAGAAGGTAAACCATTGTTTCAAGTTTCTAGGGAAAACCCATAATGTGACTTTGATACTTTGGAGGTGTATGCTTAATGATACGAAATTTACTCTCACATTAGCTAGTGGACCTAGATCATGTTTCATATGAACGATTTTAAGATTTTTATTTAATTTGTTTTAACTTTCTACTTTTAAAAAATAGAAAAAGAAGGGCGGGGATGGGGTGGATCTAAGATTTTAAAGTTTACGGGTTCTACTTTCTAAAAAATATTGTAATTTACTTTAGGTTCTGAATTTTGTACCTATTAAATGATTTTTATAATATAAATATAGAATTTGGTCTAAACTATTAAATTGTATCAAATCTGTAATTAAAATGCTAGCTCTACCACCTCAATGGTAACAACAACAGCTTAGAATGCCATTATATTTCGCTTTCTCTGGAGGTAAAGGTAAAGATGTAAAAATAACTCAAAAGGGGAATGGGCATTATGAGTTCATGAATCAACTTTATTTTATATATATATAAATTAAAAGAATTAAGAGATTGACAATAATGTGGTTTTATTCCATATAATAAACCAAAGTGAGATTACATAACAACAAAAGAGACCCTCCAAATTAAAAGATAATTTCAAGAGGATGTCTAAAACATTGACAAATTAAAGCAAACTAATGATACAAAGCTTGATGCCTAATTTCACCCCTAAAAAAAAAAACCTTGTATTGTCCCTTTTCTCTAACCACTTGGTATACGTTGAATTTCTCAACCTTCCTCATGGAAAAATATTTACAATAAAGAGAAAAAAAATACCTAAGCCATGGGGTCAACTATATCTTTGCAATAGGTGGATAAATTGAACATGGTTAATTAATAAATTTAACCATGCAAAAATGAGAGGTTAAAAAAAAAAAATCCTCCCTACAAAATGACTTAATTAACCCCACGGCAAACAAGCTTCAAAGGACTTGGTTTTGAAAAAAAGGGTGAATTTGACCTCACAAGCCTAAACATCCAATTATGGAACTGGAAAAAGAGAACGGTAAAATGACTTTCGTTGTATCAAACACTCTAAAAGAAATTACGATAAGTTGGTCAATCGATCACACCCTTCACATAAACATTTTGAGAGCTGAGCGCAAATTCTTGACAAGATCCTTTACTGTCATTGTAAATTCCTCATCCATCTGCATGGAATTAAGCCTTTTTAAGAATTTGAAAAGGAAAAAAATAAAATAATAACCTAATTACCACATGTAAAGTATAAAATTAAAGTTATAACAAAAAATATAATCTAGAATTTAAGTTATATTCACATAATAGTACAAAATTTCTCTAACAACATCAATGTAGTTTAAATTGTAATAGACCAATATTGGCATATTAGAAATTATTCTTAAAACTATGTTACAAATTAATCATATGTCATAGAGATTTACTTATAATTATGTACATTATATAATAACAACTTGATTGGTTAAAAGTTTTTACTTAAAACTCAAAACAATATTCTTTCTGTTCACTTGTTCATAATGAACTTTACAATGAAATGCATATATATAGTAGTTAACGTTAAGGGTAAAACATGAAAAAAGATTGTTTTAATTCTCTTGATATGTATAGTGTTCTAGTAAAAGTAAAAAAAAATATATTTTTAACATAGTGAACAAGTAAAAGTGAATGAGCTAATAATATACCTGAGCAATTATGGTAATGTCAAGAGCAGATGATCCAAAAGACAAAGCACATGTATTAATGACTGATAGATGAAGTTTCTCAATCTCAGCAACTGTTTTCTCAACAATTCCTTTCCTTTTTTCACAGTGGATTCTAATTAATACATCTTTTTCAGATATTCTTGCTTCAATTTCTGGGAGTGCCTCATCAACTGGTACAGTACCACTTGAGTAGTTTTCATCTGAAGAAGAATTTTCACCATCTCCATAAAGTTCATATTTCTTGACAAATACAACAGATTCCACTGATTTTTTCTTTGTTTGCTCCTCAAGTGTCTTCACTTTCTCTTGAAGTTGTTTCAAGTATTTTATTGCATCTCCAAGAACTGAAGCCTTGTCCATCTATTCATCATACCAAAATTTTAGTATAGCTATTTTATATAGGACAATTGTAAATATTACTCCCGCTAATCATATTTACTTGTCTATCATACTAAAAATAGATGTTCAGTTTTACTATCGTCTTAATTTACTTAGCTTGCCCAAGTTGAAAAATAAATCATTTTTTGGTATTTGCTTTTGGAAAATATTTCGAGGAACTCTTGACTAAGCATTATTATTGGTCCAACCAACACTTACTTTTCAAGATTGATACACATAACTATCAATCTTGAAAACTAAAAAAATCATCAAATTAAGCACCATCACACGATATAATGTGCTAATTTATTATCGACTTATTTTTCATTTTAATTGCAACCATTCACAAACTCCAAACACAGGTCATATATTTCAAAAATATAAAAAATAAAATAACTTTATTCGTATCAAACATATTCGTAAGCTTGATAGAAGTGTATTAGTACCTTTTTGAGTCCAGGAATCAGAGCAGATAAAGCAATGAATCTTTGGCTAAGTTTTTCGCGTCTTTTCCTCTCAGCAATGATATGATCTTGAGCTTGTGTTAATTTTCCATTAGTGCTAACACTCTTATTAGAACCTTGACATGAATTATTAGCAGCCTTAAACATCATATAATTCTGATTAGCAAAAGAATCTTGATGACAAACCATATTGTTATGACAATGATCAGCTGCAAAAGATATACTGCTTGATGACAAATTAGTTGTTTCCTCTTTGGGCTTCATTGTCACAACTTGTTGGTTAGTGTAATTATTTGATGAGTTCATCAAATGGGAATAATTGGGAGAAACCACAGATTGTGAGCTCAATATTTGGTCATTTTCAATATTGTTATTCCAGTTGTGACCTGTTTTGGAATTCTTTAGTGGCCTTTCTTCAACAATTTGGGACAATTCTATAGGCCTTTTATGGCCTAATAGTGGCTGATCATGAGACATGAATGATTCATGCAAATTATTCTCATGACCAAATGAAGTTGCTATAGATATTGCACTTAGCTCATCATATGAGCTAATAGGCCATTGTTGATTAAACCCATAATATTCCATTTCCTGCAACAAAAATGCAAATATTCAATTCTAAATTCAATAATCTTGAAGAAACTCGCAAAAATTGTCTAGATTTTCAAAAGTTTAGACATTGAAACTACACATACACTACATCAAAAATGATCTTCTACCGACAATGGACTAGCTATTTGCTGCTATATTTCAGGTGGCTAAATGTTTTATCAATTGAATTATCATCAATTAACTTATTGTCGCTAAAAAAAAAATTTGTTGCAGTGGATAGAATTGTACCTTACAAATTCCAAAATTCTTGAAAATTCCCAAAAACAAATTGGAGAAATCCTGAACAAAAACAAAAAAAAGCCAAATTAAATTGTGGAAACGGATATACATAAAAGTAGAATATATAAGGTAATTAATGGAATTAGGGACTTACTTTAATTAATTAAGAGAAGATCAGGACAAAGCTAATCTTTTACTAATCTCCTATAAAGTTGGAGACTTTTTGCTACCATTAATGAATTTTGTTCCTCATATATATACTACTGTTATTAGTATCACTATCTCCCTTTTTTCTTCTTTCTTCACGGGTCGGGTTGTTGATGTGAACCGGCTTTTAATTATTGTGGCAATAGAATATTAGTAATAATTAGTGTATATTTCAATTTTCAACACCTTTCTGTATGAACATAAATAAATTGCAAGTAGATCTTTTAAGCTGGTGAAAGCTAAGATTAAAATAATCTTTTTTTTTTGTTTTATTCAGAATTTTAAAGACTTTTGAGGCTACTAGTATTTCTATAATATTTCATATTCCTCCACTTAGCCAATGAAATTTTGACAACAAAATTATTATTATATATATTTTTTGGATTTTAGTTTTCAATTTTCTTTATGTTGGCTGCTACGTCAACTACCATAATGTTCCCACAACCTATGTCGTAATCCAAAAAGATCATCCTCCATATTTTGCGGTACTTTGATAAGAACATTGACTAACAAAAATTACTGCTCCATAAAGAAAATAAAATTAACCAATAATTAAGCACATGTAGTACGACCTACCAAAAAAAATATAAGTATTTGAAAAGGATATATAGTATTATACAACAACACTATTCTATCATATGGGCCAACTGTTAATCAATACGATATATTATAAAATACTAACTAGTGAAAATATGTTGTGCACGTATTGGTTAAAATATTGTACAACTTTTCTTATTATACACACTTTCTTCATATGATGATAAGTATTTTGGTATATAAAAGAATTACTAGTGTCAGTTTAATTTAATATATATATATATATATATATATGTGATATCAATATGTCATGAGATTATATTCGTTTGTCAGATATACTTTGAAAAAGTATTTTGTATCCAAAAAAATTATACTGTTTGATTTAGAATTTTTGTGTATATATACTTTTTCATATATTCCTTATTCTAAGAACGTTTTCTCGAGTCTCTTCCCCTCATCATCTCGTCTGGTATGATTTTTTATATTATTATACATTTTAATTTTCTTTGCATAGTTCGAGTTTAAAACAACATATTCAGTTAACTTTTATATATATATAAAATTCTTTTTAGATTTGTCTCGATTAATCAGGATTTATCTATAATAAAAATGTCATAACTTTAGAACATGAAAACAGCTTAATCGAAATAAGAGATTTTTAAAATGTCGGTGTGGCTGAGTACTTCTAACAAGTTAGCTCTAGAATATCCAAACAAAATCTCAAAATTTGTTGGGAGAATCTTGAAAAAAAAGCCCATCTTCTTTTCTTTCTGTCAAGTAGCTTACTATATATAAAACAAGAAGGTTGTTGAAGAAGTGATGTCTTAACATAACTTGATAGGTATAGCTGGAAAAGATTATTACAAGCACTCAAAAAGATAAGAGACAGCCTGATATAAATTGAAACGGTGAGAATATTATTATGCTCGTGGGGGTAGTTATGAGTATTCAACATTAATATGTGACTGTTATCCACCATATATTAGTACTCCTGTCTAGTCTATAGATATGAACAGACATTTCAAATGACAACCTGTGATGTTGGACCTTTACACCTTCAACTTTTCATGCATCCATCCACTAATTCTTACTGCTATTATATTCTCCATATATTTATTTTTATTGAGTAATAAGCTTTGGATATCTTTTACAAAGAAAAAAGAAAAACTTGAGAATGAGGTATAATCTTTTGTATGTTTATTTGATATACAACGTCTAAAGTTAGTCATCACAAAATTTTATATGGCTGAAGTTTATTAATTGCTTGAACTTTGGTCATTTATGCTAAAGTGATGTTATTATTGCAAGACTTTAATTATTTTTTTTTGAAATAACGCATCACTGAAATTATTTTAGAGTGAATAGACATATACATTTAAAAAAAACTATGTATAAGTTATATAGTGGTGTCCAAAAAGGATACCTTAAAATTCATAAAATTGCACGTTTTTTCCTTCAAATGAGTTGATCATTAATTTTTTGTCCTTTAGCAATTGAACTTATGCTAGGACATAAGATTTTTTAGAAACTGAAGTCAAGCTTGGATTATAACATAAAAATATACCATATGTGCAAGAAATTACTTGTTATGAGGGACATAAATTAAAGACCAATACAAAATATAGCGATAAAAGTACAAATGAGCCTGTGAACTGTGAAATTACCTTCAAGAGCAAGCAGGCCGAAAAATCTCTGTCCAATCAAATATAGCCCAGGCCCATTAGTGGCCCACAACAAAGTTCTCGAATAAAGTTTAAGTTTCAATTGGGGGAATTATTTGAACACTCGATATTATAGTGTTAATTACTTATAATGTTTAGCAAATATAAATGATATACAAAAATGTTAGTTGCTCATATAAAGAAGTGAAAATTTCTAATATGACATATATTATACTAATATTTTTGAGTTATAGCAGTAGATTTAAACTTTCAAGTTATAACATTAAAAATTTCAGGTTGTAACAGATTATTTAAAAAAAAAGTTATTTTTAATAATTAAAAACATTTGATTTGAAAAGAATAAAAAGATAAA